ATTGCAGATACCTTAATCTAATTGTCATAAACAGTTCCCACACTCCGGACAGCTCGCCTTGACTACTTCCTTCACCACTTCCTACGTCGCGGACCCGTTTTCCTCCCTTTCCATAAAATTTTAGAAATGCAGATACCTAAATCTAATCGTCATAAACAGTTTCCACACTCCGTCAGCTCACCTTGACTACTTCCTTCACCCCTTCCTACGTCGTGGACCCGTTTTCCTCCCTTCCCATAGAATTTTAGGAATGCAGATACCTTAATCTAATCGTCATAAACAGCTCCCACACTCCGGGCAGCTCGCCTTGACTACTTCCTTCACCACTTCCTACGTCACGGACCCGTTTTCCTCCCTTCCCATAGAATTTTAGGAATTCAGATACCTACCTAAATCTAATCGTCTTAAACAGTTTCCACACTCCAGACTATTCACCTTTATTACTTCCTTCACCACTTCCTACGTCACGGACCTCAAGCTAGTGTCGTCATTTGATTATATTTATGATCCATATCACCGTTTATGTTCTAACTAGCAGAGTACCCGTCCTTCGTACGGGGTTGGAATATAAGTATAAAATGCTTATTGCAGTTATACTCAAGCTTTGCGATTGCAATGGGTGGAGGACACAGTTTGATAAAATTTGCTTTTTTAAATTTACAGTATTCTATAGTATTACATATCTACCATAGCCATAATGTTCTACCATTTTACCTAAACAATAGAGAAAAATAAATTATCAATTCGCAAAATATCACAAATTATTCATGAAATGAAAAACATATACATAACTGTAAACAATCCTACTTTGACAGTTCTCATTGCGAATCACAGGTTTTGTTGCTGCTTAGTTCAAATTAGCTGTTTTCATAAATGCAAAAAAAATATAGTGCTGCGCCCTGTTGGTAAATCTTATAACTTTTTAATGCTTTTTCATATCATAGAACCAACTTTTTTAGTTGAAACAGCTGACTAAACTCTTTAATTCCCTTTAAATATGAATACTCATAAGGTTAACATGGGGAATTACAGAGCCACTGGGGCGGAGCCCGAAAGGATTTTTGAGATAAAAATATGCCTATATGTTAATCGGGAATGTAAGCTATCATCATGCCAAATTTCAGCCCAATCCGTCCAGTGGTTTATGATTGAACTTCAAACAAACAAACAAACAAACAAACAAACAAACAAACACACAAACTTTCACATTTATAATATTAGTAAGATATCTGTGGAATGCTATCAGCTATTTATTTATCTACTGCATTCAAAAGTCAACAGCTGATCATATGTCTTTGTTTATGTGTCAAATACTGCTTCCATAAGAATTACATTGAAACTTTGAGACCCAGTGGGGCGGATTCCTAAGAGACTTTTTTAACGCCATATAGATGTTGGCACTCACCGATATGGTCTTAATCACCATGCAAAATTTGAAAACGATTGATTCAGCCGTCTAGGAGGAGTTTGCGTATTACGAAATGCATAAGAGTCGACGTATAAGAGCTTTGCTCGCTCCGCTCAAAAACATACTCCCTTAGTGGAGCTGAAATAGTTTATTTAATCCCCAGGGCAAAAGTATAAACTATTTAGGCAAAGTACTACCTATATTTTCGAGCAAGTATTTAGGTAAATTGATATACAGGGTGTTCAAAAAGGTTTGGGGAGACAATTTACGTAGTGATTCCTTGGGTCAAAATAAATAGATAATCATGAATAACATTTTTTCCAAAATCACTTGTTAACCAGGTACGACATTTTGCATTTTTTACATTAACATTTTTATCTTTAGATTTTTTTAACCGATCTTTATGAAACTTGGTATGTATGTTAAGGTAAAAAAGATGTTAGAAAAAAAGTTAACTTTGATTCAACTTAAAATTTCAAAATGGTGGCCATTTAATACTTTTAAACTTAAATTACAAAAAAATGGCTGGTTGTATGAAAAAATGTCAAGAACACTTTAGTTAGGCTAGCATCTTTAATTCACTATCAAACGATACCAAGCTCAAAAACATTGAATAATGAATAGCTAAAATAATACGATCTTTGGTTGTAAAATGTGGTAGAATAAGGCTAAGGTAGTCCAGGTTTGCCCAATTTTCCAACTAAAAAACGTAATATTTAAGCTATATCTTAATCAATAACTTGGTATCGTTTGATATTGAATTAAAAATTCGAAATAAAAGTTTTCTTGACTTTTTTCATAAAATCAGCATTCAGAAATTCTTTTCTAATTTAAGTTTAAAATATTAAAATGGCCGCCATTTAAAAAATTTTAAGTTGAATCAATATGAATTTATTTTATGACATGGGTCTCTTTTACCATAACATACATACCAAGTTTCATAAAGATCGGTTGGAGAAATCCAAAGTTAAAAATGTGTATGTAAAAAATACAAAATGGCAGGTATCTAGTTAACAAAGCAAATTTTTGAAGAAAGAATATCCTTAATTCTATTTTTATTTTACTCAAGGAATCGCACTATGTAAATTATGTATCCACCTTTTTTTACCCTGTATATACAAGTTCTGTGATGGTGGATTAATACCAACTAGTATCCCTGTTGCTCGAATTCGAGCAATTGCTAAGTATTACAGGCGTTATTTTAAAAAGAATTTCAACCAAGTCTTTAAATGTTTGTAGCCAACTGTTAAATTAGCAAACTTATTGATTGTTTAAATTAGCATATGTTCTTCTTCTCACTTTTAATTTCTGACAACAGCTGGAGTTTCATGACAATTTTTGTTTCCCATGTTAATCTTATGGAGAAATACAAAACTTTAAAGGGCCCCAGGGCCTCACTCTCTAATTATTTACCTAAAAAGAAAGTTTCCTGCACAACTTCACGTTACGCTCTTTCCAATGACACCAAAAACATGTCAATCGGTTCAGTAGTTTTGGAGGAGTAATTGTCACACAAATCCTGCTTGCGTATTAAATAAGTAAAATATAGATAGACACCTTATTAAGCCTACTCTAAAAATCGGTAACCAGCTGTTCGTGTATTAGCAAAACTAGATGTTCCAAACATTCCATTGCCAAATTAAACAGACCAATTTACCCATTTTAGTGGTTAATTTTTAAATATGGTAAACAACAATAAAAAATTCAGTTTTGAGAGTTAATTCAATAAGCTAAAAGAATAGTGCAGTGTTGAAAAATATAGTTCATCGTGTGGGGTAAAAATGTGCCTCCTCTCAATTTCCGTTTAACTAAAACTGTGTCAAAATAGTCATTTCACAGGCCCTAGTGATGGATTTACTATTAGAGTCTGGCAAAGAAGCCAGCTGTTTGAACTGCGCGGGAGGCTGGGTATAATTAATTGAATCAAATCCCCACCTAGGGGAACACCACTCATAAAAATAAACCTGTTTGAGTCCCCAACTGAGCTACTGCTACTATCTGTGTAGAGGATATCGCCGCAGCCGCCGACCGCAGCTACTTCCGGTAGGAAACAGGAGTACCTAACATATAATTGCAGAATTTAAAATTAACAAAACTTTGTAGACCTACTGATGAACATATTATGCTATTTTTTTTATTTAACAAAACTTTTATGGATGCTATTAATTTCCAAAATGCGTGTATTAATAAAACATGGATATTATAGTGTTAAGTTTCAAACAGTTTTATAATAAGAATATTTTAAATTTGAAGCAAATTATAAAATAGTAAAACCTTTTCTAAATCATTAGATAACGATGAAAGTACTAATCATTTGAGTTATATACTTTCCATTTCAAGGGTATATTCAATGTATTATTGGACTCTTTTTCAAATAATAATTGTTGTTAAACTAACTTTGTCTTGTATTTGTTTATCAATGCGACTGATATATATTTTCTTTTTTTTATAAATTTCGACATATTTTTCGCTTTAATCAATAGAAAGGACAAGTAAATACAATGGTTTTTATAATCTTTAAGTTTGTATTTTACTGTATAATATTGGTTATTTATTAATTTGTTTACAATTAATTGATAAAACAATATGGGTTTAATATTATTGGTATTTCATCACCTGTGACTGTGCAATTTACAAATTATTTTAGGACGACTGTACACACCACAACCCCATGGTGGAGGCTAATTTACTAAATCCTTTGATATCTACGTAGAAAAATATAATATACTGTACATATATTTCAAGGTGCCTACCAAGTGCCAATGAACAAATCTGACGTTGGCCTTATTGGGAAATTTGATGTTGTCCTATTTCCTCCCTGAAAGCCCCACCACGACCACGCGTTGTTGGACTGGACTGGACTGGACTGAACCGAATGACGATATTTCATTTCCCAATCCCGAATCCCAAGACGTTTTGAGACGGCTGTCGGCGGGTATTTACTCAGGGGAGGTATAGAAGAGGCTACGATGACAGCTGTGGGCTTCTTATTAGCTGAGGGAACGCCATTACCGTAACAAAACGGTCGGTAACCATCGGCCTCGGTGGTCTATTGGTTAGCGTGCCGGACTGATATATTGTAGGTTCCGGGTTCGAATCCTGCTGGTGGCATTAACTTTTTGTCCAAGATTTTTTTATTATCAGCAAGTTTGGTTGGTTTGGTTCGGTTATTACAGTTTAATTTTATTATTAAGTCATTACAAAATTTTAATTGAGACAATTCTAGTTTTATTTAATAAACAGAATTATTTTTCCGATTACTAAGCTTTTGTTATATTATTTCTTTATCAGCAAGTTTGGTTAGTTCGGTTAGGTTATGATAGTTTAATTTTATAATAAAAAAATAATAAAATTGAATTTGAGACATTTATAATTTTATTTTATGAATAGAACTATTTTTGCGATTAGTAAACCTTCATTGCCAAAGTGCTCTCTACTACAGCGCTGTTCACGGAGGAATTTTGAACTAAATGCCTCATTCGTACCTCCCCTAAGTCAGACCCCTGTCGGCGCTGTCCTGTCACTCCTGTCGGCTGTCGTCGTCGTCAGTCTCAGTCTACTGTCAAGTGAATCAGTGGTTTAGGTCCTAAACTTTAGGAATAGGGAAATTACGTCAAAAATTCATCAACACTGACTCGTATTGTCTGTGATTTGATTTTAGGGAGTATCTACTTTCTTTTCTCTAGTATAATCATGATGTCATTATTATTTATCGTGACAAATATTAGTGCTTTATCAAAGGAAAGTTAATTTAACTTAGCCTACGTTTATAGTTTCAAGTTTTATGATCGCTCAGATCATCTGTAGCCTATGTGATAAATTGTGGCTGTGATACCAAGTCATTTTATTGTTACTTTTAAACAGGTAGGTTCTCAGAATTACTACATCAATTTGGCCTTGGTTAATTCAGTGCATGTCTTAGTTTTAGGTCAACACAAGATATTCTGACATCTCATCTAAGTTAAGCCTAGGATGTAACATAGAGCCTAGGCTACCCTACTTTTACTTTTACATTAGGCCTACCTATCTAACCTAAATTAGGTACTTCAAACATAAACCTCTTAATATCTTAATGATTATTAAGGTAAGCTTACGCCTATTTTAAGCTTCCTTAATAGATATGATTTCCTGCTTCGATCACAAAGAGGAGTTAGGAATTAAGTTAATATTGGTTTTAATTAGTTCATTCCATTATTTTTGATTAATTTGACACCCTGGCTGCACTTCACTTTACGTCCTACACTCATTCAAATGGGAAAACGATCGATATATTGAATTAAACAATCGAATAATCAATATTTTCATTCGAATGAGTGTAGGACATAAAGTTAAGTGCAGCTGACACCCTAATTGGTAAGTCATCATTTCAATGAGGTATTTGTAATAAGAATTTGTCACATAATAAGTCAATTATTTATGATGTTGGTCTCTTTTAATCACAAAATGAGTTACCGTATCACTCCATTGGATTTGTTGTTCATTGTGCTTTTGAATGAGCCATTTTCAAAAGGCTTCCGGTAATGATTTTAGATGCATACATAGGTAGTCCACTACAAAGTTAATAGCCAAAGAGCTTTTAAAGTTACTGATCAATTAAATTGATCCTGTCATAGAACTTGAAATATGATTGAAAAATAACAATCGGTAGGCCTAATTTAAGGTTGATAACCTTTCACGCCTTGTATGTTAATATAGCCTTCGGTACTGAATTTCAGAAAATAAGGACCAGACTCTTTTTTAATTTACTTGGTATTTGTTCAAAAGGCTACATATTAGATTTTTCCAACACCAAAACTAATACAGCAGCTACAGTTCTGTAAGTTATAGAGCCTACGATATATTATCAAATGAATAACGATGCTATAAGTTATAGATATTTATAAATTTTTATCCAGTTTAATAATATATATCTTAATGATTTTTTAATTGTATAGGTCTACCATAAATAAAAACAACAACAATAACATTGACACATATTTTTGTTCATTTTATCTCGTGTTTCCACTTAAATACTTTCTAAGAATGGAAGCAACTGTGAATTTTAGATATTTATGTGCTTACCATATCAACACTATTGGAAAATGTGTTAATTTTCTTAAAGAAAAATGTTTGATTCCAAAACAAGCTAAGTGCGAAATATGTGGAGACGAGATGAAGACCAGAATATAATGCGAAAGCCAGTTAGGCTTAATATTTAGATGCCAAAAATCCTCTAAATTATCAAGCAAGAAAAATAATACGGTAGTTTAGTGCTTATATTTCTTAAAGTGGTGTTATCATCGTTAATTTACCTTTTGGTAATTGTTTATTTTTATTTTTATATAATAAGTTAGATTGTTTTTTAGTTTTTATAGTTATCCCTATTTATTAATTATTAATAAAAATGTAAACAAAACAATTTTGAAATCAATGTTTACAATTTAAAAAAGTAGGCTATAGGCCTAAACGATATATATCCAAACAAGTTTCGATGCAGGTATATCGTTATTCATCCGATAATATATTGTAGGTTATATGCGGAAATGCAGCCAATACAGCTCAAAGTAAGTTTTATACCATATTTATATATAACTGTCTATGTAGCATATTCCTCTTTCAGATGGTGCTTTGGTGTTCATAGATAGGGTAGAAAAAATGGGTAAACTTCTAAGTCTGCTAGCGAGGGATGACTCTAACTGCTGCTCTCCACAGAAGTACGATGTGTTTCTCGATTTTGAAAGTGAGTTCATCAAAAGATTAAGTAGTCCAATTGAGAAAATTCATCTTATTGAGGCAAACTTCATAATAATAACACAACATTAACAAAATGGGGTGTAGGCACATGCACCAGGCTTAATCCTCTTAATCACGGTCGGTTGACCTGTCGGTTCTAGGTTGGTGTCGAACGCTTCCGCATCATACCATGCATAGCCGAACTGTTCGCTTCTCGCTTCACATTGTTAGCTCTATTACTGTCGCTGTCAAAACGTATCGTTTGTAGGTTAAATTTAAATTTAATTAAATGTCATAACCTAACCAAACTAACCAAACTTGCTGATAATTAAAAATCGAGTGAAGGTTTAATAAAAAAAAATAGTTCTGTTCATAAAATAAAACTACAAATGCCTAAAATTCATTTTTATAATTTTTAAATTATTGTAAAATTAAACTGTTATAACCTAACCAAACCAACCAAACTTGCTGATAATGAAAAAAATCGTACAAAGGTTTACTAATAGAAAAATATTTTTGATCATAAAATTATAAACGCCTTAAATTCGAACAAAAGATGTACAGTTAAGAAGTGATCGCAATCTAAGCGAAATCTTTGACAAAAAGTTAACGCCTCCTGTGGGATTCAGAATTCTCGATTCCCCACCCCTCCTCCGGTGACCACTACCCTCAGGCTATAAATCAGGAAATTAACCCAAACAAAGATCTGGGACGCTGTCCGTCTCCCAACAAAATGTCCCCTGCTGCAGAAAACCTGCTGTCTTAAAAGCGAACTTTCATTTGCCTATTTGGCTTTTCGCTAAAATATTTCCTCTAACTTTAGATTTATTTCCTATTTACTAATAGTAAAATAGGTTTATACAAGTAAACCATCCTGTTTACAAGGCTACCATCCTTAAATAGGATGTTGATAATGTAAGGCACATCATTCTCTAGTCTGGGGTTACTATACCTACTCCGTTCACAAAATTTAGACGGTTTGAAGGGAAGTTTCCCCACCACTGTTTTGCGTATTAGGCTTATAAATGTAACAGCTGATTGATGTATTATTTTAACTAGAGCTCGCCTCGTGGTCAACGACTCGACCAAAAATATGTAATGTACAGACTTTTCAATTTTCAACCCCCACTGTAAATATAACATGTGATTGGAATTCCTTCCATTTGTTTTTATATATTTCGTCACCAGCATGGCAACCCATAAGGCCCATGTTAATTTTTTGAACATTTTAAATTGACTTTTTGTGCTTATTTTGAGCTTAAATTAATTTATATGAAGAGATTCTGCACATCTAGAGGAAAATATCTTTCTGACTATGCGTAGATTTTCCCTGCGATGTACACGAGCTGAGAAAAAAGGTTTTAAAGAAACAAGCTTGCCTAATATATAGATGGTAGGATGATCAAGTGGAAGGGGATGGATTTCTTCCCCTAAAAGCGCCTAAATTTTGTGAACGAAGTATAGGTATTTACCTGAAGCTTAAGTGGATACAGTAGTATATAGTATTTTTACTTAAGTTTGCTCCTACAGGGAAGGTAGTAAGCTCTGTTAATGTTTAAAGCTTATGAAATGAATAAATTTGATCAACATATATCCTCAAACTAGCAAAATATATAATAGTTTATTTATTTTCCGTAAGAGTAACATAGCAATTTTGAATTACTGGTAACAGTTTTTTGGAATGTTCTCTGTAATCATGAAGTATACAATACTTCATTAATTATTCACTATTCTAAGCTGTACAACATGGTTTGTAAAGAAATTGTAAAATTTGGTGTTTTAATGGTCAAAATTGGGAAAAACAAATTTTTACCCTGATAAACCCCAGTTCCTGTAGTCTAATCCTGCTGGTTCGCGAACTTCTTTAATTAAACAGGGGTTTAAAAATTTGTAACACATTTCATTTTGAGCTATATGCTAACGGACACACATATACATACACATATGAATGTTTTACGTATGAAATTTAAGTTAATGGATGGTTTTTGGCCTCGGGAAACATCAAAACCAATAAAAAATATCATAACAAATAATAAAATAAACATTAATTTCTTTTGTTTCCCTAACATAGACTATACAGTCACGCCCACATTTGAACCCTCTGCTACACCCATATTGTAATAAATATAGTTACCACAAAGCAAAGCCAGCATAATAAATCTATTATCCTTTAAAGATTAAAATATTATTAAAATGGGGTTTTACATAACTTGGTATTTTTCGAAATATTGTTTGGTGTTCTAAAGTGAAAGAGAAAATTGGACATTCGCGAATAATTAAGTAGGTAGCACCTAAAAAAAGCTAGCAATTTAATAAGTAGGCCTATTACAAAAGCTGATAATTTTAGACCACGTTTTATAAAAGAGCTTAAACAGTTATTCATATTTTTATATATTATTAAAGGCCTAGAAGAGTTTCTTGAGGCTTAAATTAGTTTGCATGGGCTCAATTTAAATAATTTTGGGAAATCCATTTGATTGACAATAATCATCATATCAAGGCTAACATTTTTATTTTTTCTGACTACACTTTTGTATAGCCCGTACCTTCTTTTTACAATTATTTAAGTTGACATTAGTGATAAACAATATTGTTAGGCCAATATAGTTTTTAAAACAATAGTACTGTATGATCTACAAAAAATGGAAAAAACCCAAATTTTTGCTGCAAGACAAGGTTTAGGCCTACATTTTATATGTCCAATTGTGGGTTGTTCAATAAAACAAAGCTGTCAATAATGTGTACAAGACAGATGGCAAATCCTTATCAGTTCTTATCAGTTAGCAGTTATCAGCCTAGGTGATTACAGTTGTCCCTGTCCATTAACACTTTTGTAACCAGTCAGTGTTGCCAACTGTCTTAGCACTGATGAAATTCCCTTATCTGAGGATATATTTCAAGATAAAACCATAGGAATAGGATTAGTCATGAATTGTATGTGAGAAATAAAATAACTGGTAGATGATTAATAAAACTATGGTAACATTGGGCACAAGGAACTAGGTTTTATTGAATTTCCCATATAAGGAGTAATCTATTACCGTAGGTATCATAGTGAAACCTGGACCCAGAACCTATTTACTTTTTTGTTTTGAAGTCCCCTGAGTCCAATTTTTTTAAATTTTTTGTTAATTCGTTAAGTTTTTGTGACACAAAACCTATAAGACTACTAAATAACAACCAAATTATTTATTTTTCCTACAGTTACCTAACAATGTACATGTTCTCTCACTGATTTGAGAAAGCAAAGTGGCCAATTCGCTCATCAGTGAGACAATGTTAACATTGTCTCACTCTAATTACTTTGTCTCACTCCAGATTTGCAACGTAAATGTACGAAATAGTGAGCGCGTAACATGCAGGCAACGTCGTATGCGCGCGAAATACGTTGGCAGCACTGGCTGTAAATCAGCTGGTCAGCTGTTGTACTGTTGTATTTGTCACTTCACATTAAACGTTATATTAAAAGTTCACTTCTGTGTAAAAATAGGTTATGTTTCTTCACCAATTTATTTGTTTTATGGTAACTGTAGGAAAAGTATAATGTGCAACTCGAGTTCAAAGTACAATTGCCTCACTCGAGGAACCATTCCTCACTCGCCTACGGCTCGTGAGTAAGGATTTCTCTCGAGTGAGTCAATTGCTCACTTTTCTCACTAGTTGCACAAATAACTATTTCACAGTACAAATAAAATAACAATTAGGCTAAATAATAATAAGTGTTCACAGTAAAAATTTTATAGCAATTCAAACATACAACAAAATATCAGTAGTTTAAACAATGGCTACATATATTATAAAATATAAATATGCTAGGACATAATTGTTTCGGAATGCTGAATCACTCTGTTTGACTCTCAAAGACAAGAAATAGTATGAATAGGAAGAGCAGTGATATGAGATCAAATTGTAAATATAAAGGGTCGATAAGTTCGCTGCTGAGTGTGTGTAGGCGTGGAGTCGTGCCTATACTAGTCGTAATTGGTCAGGTGTTTACAATGTTTTCAGAATGGTGGGCATAATGACCCACCAGCATAATGCGCATAACGCATAATGATGTCACTGTGATGGTTGCGCTACCCGCCCGTAGACACAATCTTCCCCCAAAACGCATATATTTGAATACTGGGAATTCGCTTATTTCAAGTTTGCTGCGACGAGGGTATCTTTTACATTTTTATCAATCCTACTATTTATTTTCCTTCCTATATTGTAAAATGTTAAATTTTCATGGTCTTAATTTGGAAACTGTAAGAATATTTAACTAACATTTCAATACTTGTTTACCATTCAGTTTTATAATTCTATGGGTTTTACACATTTAAAAGCATTATTACAATTAGGCTTTGTCAAGGTAAAATAACTGGTTATCTATTTAATCCACAGTTAATTATTCATCAGATTATTAGCAAAGCAGTCTCTTAATTTATGCATGATTTTGTGGGACTATCCTTTCAACAACATGCAACAAATTTCTACTTTATTGGGAGGTTTTTTTTGAAGAAAACGTTTTTTTGTAAAATTAATTTAATACATTAGATGGATCAGAGTTATTTTCTGTGCCTCTGTTATTTTTAAGAATATATCATACATCCTTAGGCATTCACTGATATAAATAAAAAACTTGCTATGAATAAGCACTCATGCACGACATTACTCTAACGTACTGAACTTTTTAATCAAAATCGTTCAAGTCCTTTTTGTGAAAATCAGATTCTCCACTTTATTGGGTTTTATGGGAATTAGGTGCCCTTCAAAATAAAATTGTAAAAAAAATTAAGTGGGTTTGGTACCTTCATACAAAATTTTATCAAAATTGGATCAAAAGTGTAACTTTGTACTAATCCACACAAAAACTTGCACACAGACATCACTTTGAAACCTACTTTTGTAGGTTCAGGAGGAACCAAAACGGACATTTCCACCCAAAACCCAAAACCCAAACTCAAAAACGATGACAAAAACAATACTTTCTCCTACTATGTATATAAAAATGTACTATGTATATATAGAAATAAGCCCTGACCTTATTTTTATGTTGTAGACGCCCAACCTACGGCCGGAGAACGAGCTGTTTACGAGGAGGTCCAAAGGGTTCTACAGGACTCTGAAGACATCCTGCAGGACCTGGCGGTGTACAAGGGAGCAGGTCGGGAGATCCGGGAAGCCATCACGACTCCGAGTGAAGAGTGTCAGAGAAGGGCGTGGGCTGCAGTCATACCACTCGTCACCAAGCTTAAGCGCTTCTACGACTTTTCTCTGGAGCTAGGTACATCTCTAGCCTTGTTTTGTTTCAAGTTCAACCTTAGTGACTGTAAGTGTATGTTATGTGAATACTCACTTGAATACTTGATCCCTCTTTTACTGAACTGGTTGAATATCAGTTATTATGTACATTTATATTTACATTTCACAGAAGTAGAGGGTCATTTAGTTCCTTCAGACTACACAGTTACCCATTTAAGAGGTGATCCTTTACTAAAGGCTTGAACTTGAGCATTACCAACTCGCACACACTTGAAGGCAAGGTGTTAAAATTTAAATGGCCGAGGGTGGGTAGCTATGTTGATGTGGCTGAGACTGGTGTACTGCGCCATGAGTACTTCGCTTATCATAGCTGTGTTGCTGTCCTTTTGAGTCCGTAATTGCTCAGATTTCTTTGAAGGTGGATCAAAATATTGAGAACATTGTTCATGTACTAAACAATTAGTAAACCTTGTACTGGTTAATAGATCTTGAGAACGTTCAGTTGCTTAAAAATAGGCTGAGTAAATATTTCAAAAATTAAGGCACAAAAGGTTTTAGGATGTCAAAAAATGTTCATTTCTGCTTGTCTAAAAGTCATAGAGCGAATTTGAGGATGGTAAAATTATGAAATGGTGGACGGCATTTTAGTTTTCCGTCACTATTTCTTTTGCCATTTTGGATGGACTCGTGACCTCAGTTTCCTCTGAGCCTCCATCTTTTTACTTTATCGTATTCTCCTACCTTCTTTTGAACTAATGTTTTGACTATTACAGTTCTCTGTGTAGTTAATTGCAACTTCTAACTTTGGCTGGGTTTCTGTACTCTTGTTTAATATATTCTAGTAACGTAAGATAATTTCTCAGCTGAGCATGTGATCAGATTAGAGATCTTTGATACGCAGTGAACCTTTTAACAGTAACAAAGCTACAAACGTTATCTCACTCCATCAGACATCCTTCCTTCACGTCCTGTAGCATCTCTATCTTAATTGGTAATCACAACAATGTTTGAAAGAACATTGCAGTATCTTATCTTTGTGAAGTGATGAAGCTTAGTGACAATGTTCCACAGAGAATATCGTACCCAAGATCCTAGGAGAGTTATGTTCCGGAGCCATGACACCGACACAGCACCTGGAGACTCAACAGGCCATTGTCAAGCAGTTTGCGGAGATACTCGAGTTTGTTCTCAAGTTTGATGAGTACAAGGTAAGTCATAAAACTGTTGGTATATAAAGATACAGTAAAAGCCTGCTAATTTGGCATATGTTGGTGCGTCACTTTTAGTAGTCTGGCATCGGTTTTGGTTTCTATTGACACTGCAGCCATCAGGACTTTTCTAGAGATTTTAGTTTTCCAATAATTTTCTAGAGACCAATATTGTATACCTACCTACTATACTATAGTATCAGTTAAATTTTTCATTACTAACCAACATTTTGCTATACCAACAGACAGAAACATAAAACATGAGGAAAAATAACTATCAACACTTAAACTATTCATAGCTTAAACAACCAAGCAACAAATTGCCAAACAAATATTTCCCTAAAATTAGTTCAAATTTGTATAGCACAAATTTATATTCACACAGATTATATTTACAACAAAACTGGATTATATGCAAAAGTTAACACCACAATCGTAGAAATTGGTTTAGTTGGACGATCAAAAAACAATTGTTACAGAGAAACCCTTATTGTATTAAGTATAAAATATAATGTATTGTTTCAGATGAAAACGCCAGCAATTCAGAACGACTTCAGCTACTACCGACGGACAGTGAACCGTCAGAGGCTGGTAGGGTGGGCAGAGGGCGGAGAGGGGCTGCCAAGAGTCCCTGATGTGTCCAGCGAGCTCGCTAACCGCATGTCACTGTTCTATGCTCACGCTACACCTATGCTGAAGGTGCTGAGTGAAGCTACGTCTCACTTTGTACAGGAGGTTAGTTTTATGTTTTTAGTGAATTTCCCATATAGGGAATAAGTTATTATCACAGATCTCATGGTAAGACCTGGACCAGGGACCGGTTTTAGCGAAATTCCCACATTGAGAAAAAGCTATTACCGTAGGTCTCATAGTAACTACTATTATAAAAAATGTAATTTTAATTTATATGTAATTATATAAAGAATCTAAACCAATGCAACAACCTAGAGCTGGGACCGATTTACTTTTTTGTGTTGATGTGCCTAGAGGACAAACACCATCTGTTCAAATTCATGTACCTGTATATGTCTGATAGCACTATAACTCATGTAAAAATCATCTGATTTTCATGAAATTTGCTAAAAATTTGTAAACCCATGTTTAATCGAATCAGTTCATAAACCAGCATGACCGGACTGTAGGAACAGGGTTTTATGGGGTTAAAAGGTGTTCATTTTTATTCCTCAAAAACATAAAAGTTGGCAATTTCTTTCTTTGCCATTTTGTAGAGCTTAAAAAAAAACATATGATTTAGTATATTGAAGTGATGTTACAAGTTACAAGAACAATGGATACAGAGACAATTTTAATTTCCCACGCTATTCTTACTTAACAAACTAGCAGGTACCTATTGCTTCGCCCGAAATACTTTTGGGTTTTATTGCTACTATGAACCAGCTGAATTGGTACGTTTGCTAAGGTCTAGCATGACCTTTTGCATTCATTTTCTCCTATAGTAGCAGTTATTGAGGATTAAAATATTTTATATATATAATCACCTTAGGCCAATTAAAGATATGGGACTACTGATGTCAAACTTAGAGAGAACGTCTTCATTTGAAAAACTAAATGGCCTTCTACCAGGAACCTTTAAACTGACCTTTACAGGAACAACCTACAATGCTATTTACTGAAGTACTATTCCCACTCTATCTCCTTTCACTCATAATGTGTGCCCTTAAACCAAATTTGCCAATAGTACAGTTGGTTTTTTTTTAGTTTATTGAAAAGTATTAGATAGGCTATCTTAAAGTGGCATTAAGTAATACTAGTTGTCCTGAATTGACATATTTGATTGAAGGCTTAAGTTTTTCTCAAAAATTTAAATCCTTCCAAGCATGTCTTAAAGCGAATTTGCTTTGTAGCCTAATCTCAATACCTGTTACATTGCCATGTAGCCTAATCTCAATACCTGTAACATTGCCATGTAGCCTAATCTCAATACCTGTGACATTGCCATGTAGCCTAATCTCAATACCTGTAACATTGCCATGTAGCCTAATCTCAATACCTGTGACATTGCCATGTAGCCTAATCTCAATACCTGTGACATTGCCATGTAGCCTAATCTCAATACCTGTGACATTGCCATGTAGCCTAATCTCAATACCTGTGACATTGCCATGTAGCCTAATCTCAATACCTGTGACATTGCCATGTAGCCTAATCTCAATACCTGTGACATTGCCATGTAGCCTAATCTCAATACCTGTAACATTGCCATGTAGCCTAATCTCAATACCTGTAACATTGCCATGTAGCCTAATCTCAATACCTGTAACATTGCCATGTAGCCTAATCTCAATACCTGTAACATTGCCATGTAGCCTAATCTCAATACCTGTAACATTGCCATGTAGCCTAATCTCAATACCTGTAACATTGCCATGTAGCCTAATCTCAATACCTGTGACATTGCCATGTAGCCTAATCTCAATACCTGTAACATTGCCATGTAGCCTAATCTCAATACCTGTGACATTGCCATGTAGCCTAATCTCAATACCTGTGACATTGCCATGTAGCCTAATCTCAATACCTGTGACATTGCCATGTAGCCTAATCTCAATACCTGTAACATTGCCATGTAGCCTAATCCCAATACCTGTGCTATCATTGCCTAATCTGATTAATCTGTCCCCAGAATACTGATGTGCCAATTGAGAACACAACAGAGACACTCAGTACGATGGCCAAAGTGTGCCTTCGGATGCTGGAAAGCCCGTAAGTATCAATCAAGTTCAGCATTTTATTAGGATATGATTTACTCAAACAACTGAAGTGTTCAAGTTCAAGTGTTCTCAGTTAGGAGTGTTCAAAATAACTGTTGCTGACTAAGATTAGGTGTTTTTTGCTAATGTCTAAATGTTTAATGTCAGTGGTTAAAATGAATTCTCATTCTGCGTACGATTATCCTGTACACACTCTTGATCCGAGCTACTCTACTTAGCTACTAATATTTCACGGAAAAGTCACTTTTTCTTTCCCTGTAGTAGCTAAATCTAACTGCTCGTCAAACCAAATGTTTTTTTATTTTATATTTCATTACAAAGCTACTAGACAGGCTAGACACCCAAAATTACAAAGTAGCAATATTATATCAAACTAAACTATTTGACTCACATAGTAAATAATAAACATGGTCAAAACTCATATTGCAGAAGAAACAACTTAAAGTATTTAAACTCACAACAATACAATACATTAACGAAAATCAATGCTCAAACAGATCTCTTTAAAGTGAACATAGCAATGATTTAAATATTTTTAACAACAAGAAGGCATAACTAAGTCTGAACAAAGCAATGTACTCAAAATTATTATTGAGAACTGCATATGGGGACATCAATTGACCAAGCAGCAGACAGAAAACACTGGAGGCAACTTGTTGGCGAGGCCAAACACCAACTTCCCCCCCCCCCATCCCTTGGTTCGTTCAGGGGAATGCAAACGCTAATGTCGTTAAGGAAAAAATCCTACATGTTCAAGGAAATATTTTAGTAGAAATCCTATCAGGCAAATGAAAACAGCTAGGCAGGTTTGCTGCAGTGGGTGTTATTTACACTAAGATGTCTGTTTTTCGCAGGAGTCTGATATCACAGTTCCAGCGGGAGGAGACACAGCTGTTTGTGTTACGGGTGATGGTGGGTCTGGTGATCCTGTACGATCACGTTCACCCCCACGGAGCTTTCGTCAAGGCCAGTAATGTGGACGTAAAGGGTTGTGTGAGACTACTGAAGGACCAGCCGGCTGTCAGGTCAGAGGGGCTTCTAAATGCTCTCAGGTACTGAAACACCATTACTTTGCAATAGGGACGTCCTTGGTACAGGAGTCTTAGCTTATAAGATGTTGCCTTTTTGTGACAAACATTGTAATCAATGTATTTGTATTTGGTGCGTTATTGGATATGGTCTTAAAGTATGTTGTGTGACAAAAAAGATCTCAAAAAAATTACATCTCCAAAAATACGCAGAAGATCTATGCTTGATTTGCAGTAGGATATTCATTGTAAAAAATGTTGTCAAAGAATTATGACTTTTAACAGCCTTTTCAAAACTGTTCTTCACGTAAAATTTCAACCTTGCAGTCACAGAAACATCATCATCAGTTTCTGTTAGGACAGTAAAGTCTTGAATATCTCTGTAGTCTTGTAGCCTTCATCATCGTCTTCTGTGATCGCAACAGAACATTGAGTATTTACTGTGGTTGGGTGGACATCATCGCCATCATGATATAACTTTAAAAATATTCCCCAGGCTTATAGACATCATTATAGTCTCCCGCAGTCACAAAACATCATCATCCCCCATGGTCACAAAAACAAAATCATCGCCATCCATCATTGTGGTAAACTTACTACTCTCGAACAAATCTTGGAGCAAATTGGCCTGTAAATGTTATGAAAAAACTGATTATTTCTATTTCGGCGTGTGTTGAAATTGATTTGTTTGGCTGCTCTTTGGGTTTATTCTGCGGGCGTTTGCTGGGGGTGTTGGCTGACTGATTCTACAGTTTTGTGTTTTTTTACGGCACTGTGCGGTTTTGGTTGGTCGGCGTTATCTTGTCTTAGTTAAATATTATGTAAATTGTGATGTTGTGTGTACTAAAAAGACTGCATTCTAAATGGATTAAACTTTAATGCGACATTGTAATTTGGCACTATGCCTGTAATGTAGTATTGTTGAAATAAAACGGTAATTTGTTCTAACTGAAGACTGCAGATGCAATCCGTTCTTCGCAGTAATATTGCAAGATTTTAAAAGCTCAGCTCGGAATATTAGTGGTTGAAGTATTTTTGAAATACCCTGCATTTAAAAAAGCTTACAACTATCTCAATTTTTTATTATCCTAATATGGTACCATCTCAATTGATTTGGATGATTGTAGTGCCACTGTACAACAAATCTCAAAGATTCTCAATTAATCCCGGTTCATTTCACTAACTTAAGACACATCTTCTGTTTCGACAGGTACACAACAAAACACCTAAACGAGGAAGCGACCCCAAAGCACATAAAGAACCTGCTTGCTGCATGATGTCGAGAACGCACTGGCTTGAGACGGTGCTGTAGTTAGTGATGCTCCTGTGATAAGGAGAACACTTGTGTGTATATTTGTACATCTGCGTTCCCAACAACCTATGTTTTTAGTTCGTGTAGTATCGCTTGTATATTTTAACTATTTTACCATGACACTTCTATGACTGTGTACATATTGCTTTATGAGCGTTATCGTTTGAGTACTGAATGAGCTTTTTTATCGCAATTCATAGACTGGCAAGTTATTATTTTTATGTAACATAGTAACAATATTAATATGCTTATCTACTCTTAAAATGTATCTAAATTTAATATAGTCAGGTCATAAAATTGACTGTGTTCAAAAACATATTTATATATGTTATACATGAAAAACAGCAAAGGCTTTTTTCTCTTTAATGTATTGTGAGGTATATTATTTAGAAAATACCGTATTGTGGATCAAGTGGTAGGATACGCTAGAAATCTTATTTTAACCTTAACGTTTAATTTGCAATCATGATTATTGATGGATGAGTATAACTTTTTAATTAACACTTTAACTCAAAACTGTGGTCTAAAATATAATTTGACTAACCCAAATAACATGAGAACCTTATCTTAATAAGGTAAAAGATGCAAGACAGAGTTTATAATAGTTTTGACAACAATTAAATACTAGAATGTCAGTAAGAGTAAGACATGATATAATAGTAATTTGTTTTAAGATAAACTTAATAATTTTATCTATAGTAGTAATTTTATTCATGACAAAGTAAGACAAATCTATAGTTTATTCACAAAGTTTAGGCAGTTTGAGTCCTGGGTTCCACCACTTTTTTTAGCTTAATGTCATCAGCTGTCGGCTGTGGCAAACGGAACTAGTGCCGTTCTATTCTTTGCCGTGGGGATTATAACTGTCAGATAGCGAGTGCTGTTTGATTCCCCAGAGCGTAAGAGTGATTCAGAGGAGGGGTATTAGTGGAAGGGGGTGTATTGGGCAGGATGTTACGGAGACCAGGTACAGTTTCTTAACAGGGCTACCCTAATATTGATTGAAAATTAATATCAATTCGATTAGTAAACCTTCATTCAATTTTTTCATAATCAGCAAGTTTGGTTAGGTTATAACAGTTTCATTATATCCCTAAAACAAATTTTGGCCTCCCCCCCTGGTGGATCTCTCCACCCCCATACCCGCCGCACCGTGGAACTGGTCACTGATACCTGGCCGGCACTCGCTCCGCCAAGCCTGTAGCTGTAAAATGACCCTTGTCAGTGTTTAGGCAAACAGCACTCGGCCCTGCACTTGTCAGCTGTTGTTTCTCAGTTAGGGTGAGGTGGAAGGGTTGGAATCTCATCACCTCAAACCGCCTAAATTTTGTGAACAGAGTACAGTTGTACAGTGTTCATGTTCATATAACATCATTATCCAAGACTAGAGCTAACAATAAAACTAGGAGTGTGACAGTAAAGATTTTTTATTACATCTCTATAATACTTAATTAAAAAACTTCTGAAAAACAGTTTTATTCTCTGAGAAAGTTCTATACTAAGCTAATGATGAGGATCAATGTATGGTCAGTATTATTTTTTCAGTAGATAAGTACAACAATTTTTGGGAGATTTATCGACTATTAATCTTTTTTAATGGCTTTAGATTTTGAAAAAATAACTTTTAACTATGGATTATTTTTTTAGGTTGTAATAATACATATTAGTAAATAATTTGTAACATTAGATAAAGCTTTAAAACACCTTAAAAGCTTTAAAAGCTTTAGTAAATACCTGAAAAAGGGTTATATTTTTAAACAAAATATCAGTTTGCTGTTTTGTGACTTTTATTTCTAAATCTGTAAATCTTGGATTCTAATTTTCCCTCTTTTAGTAGAGTTCATCTTTAACCCTCTCCAAATAATTGTCTTAAAAAAATTATTCTTCTCTCACATCCAAAATGCAAAAGAGCTTTAGTTTTCAATCAGTTTACTGTCGTTACTGTCACACCTCTAGTTAACAAAGGTTGTGCTTATAAAGTATATGTCTCTTAGCTTTGTATGTCTAATAGACCTGCCTTTACCTTTTATCTTCTTTAGACAAACATTACTAAATATCAGTTATATTACCAGCAATTACGTTTATAGTCTATTATTGTCTCTCTACTTACAAATAACTAACTATTAATTCATTTTATTTATTTATGAATATCTCTTAGGAGTTTTTAGACCAGAGAAAGTTTAACTTAAATATTTTTTCTCTTTACACGTATTGTATTAGAAACGACAGTTTCAATTTCTCAAAAAATTTGATTGTTTTCTTATAAAACGTAAAAAACGTGACTGGCGTTGAAATACATGCCCTTAAGTTGTATATGTTAAAAATTTTATGATAGAAGTTGTGACTCTTTAAGTTAATTTGCCGCCGATTATTTTCAAGTTAATTTATTTACATAAAATGACAGGTCTATTAGCCATTGTGGTTTTGTCCCTAGTGATATGATATTATAGTCAAGTATCCTGTGATAAACATAATTTTGGCACCCCTTAGTTTGGGAGTTTGTAAATCATCCTTTAACTAGCCTCGAAACTTGAGGACCGTGTATTCAGCTCCTACAATTTAGAGACATCCCGCCTATAAATTGTTTTTTTTTTATCAAAGATTTGTGTGGAATTATATTTTTTCCACTGATAATTCAGTCAAATAATTTCCTCTCATTGGGATTCAAGCGTAAAATATTTTGAAACTATGTTGTACAATAAATTATGGAATTAGTAACTTTACTCAACATTCTTCCTGATTTTGTCTACTCAGGATGTAACACAGAACATACTTAACCCTAGTGATATACTTAATGTGCTCTGCTATTTGTATAAGTTGTGTCCAAACCATATCATTCTACATGGATGTTCCATCATAGCTTACAAAGCGTGTTCAAACCTGCTCAAGTTTTGATTGCCAAGCAAACTAAACTATTTACACTGGTTTTTGTAGCACTTTGTGTTAATTTATGTCTCAGTGTTTGTTTAAAAGATATTCTGTAATTTCTTTTGTTAATATAATTTATAAAATGTTTCTAGCATGAATAATACGGTTTATATGGCTGTCTAAGAGTAGAGAAAAGGATTTTCTGGTTCTTTTTGTTGTTCAATGTTTTAAAATTGGCACCTAATTAAGTAATTGTCAAAAAGTGTATTTTTTTGGTTGTGTCATGTTACAAATCAAATAAAAATACCCCAACAAAAATCTGCCGACGAAATGTACATTTTTTTTAAATTTTTTTCTGTAAGCTTTGGAAAACTTCAAAACCCTATAACACTCGTTCCGATAACTCGATATTGCTTGTTTCCAAACCCTTATGAGTTAAAGTTTTTTTTTTTAAACATAAAACAAAAACATCATTCAGAAACTAACTGTGTATGCAGCAGGATGTTTGTTTGTTGTGGCCTGGCTGATTCCTTTCTCTATTCCTTAGACAATAATTATTGACTTGAGGTGTTGTAAGAAAATGTAAAATCAAAATTTTTTAATATAATGTCCTGATTTTCTAAGTGACTTTTAAATTCCTTAAAAAGTTCAGTTGTCTTCTTTCAGTATTTTTTCTCTTTGAGATGATTTAAACAAAGACGTCTCATTTCAAAACTGATTTAAAAGTTACAATTCTTACACTTATACTGTAGTCTGTAATATGTATTCACAATATTTTAATATAATATTTACTATTAATAACACAGAAATAATTCTATAATGTAAAATGTTTTTGTAAAGAATCTTTATCTTGCAAGGCTTTATATTCTGTTGAATTATTTTCCCTTAGAGGATTCATAAATGAAAAGGTTGATTTTTTAATCTGTTCACTCTGAAACTAGTACAGTATTTTGTTTGGTTCAACTTTACTTTTTTGTAAGCCGATTGAACATGATTTTTACTTATAAAAATGTTATGAGTCTATTGATACTTGGCTTTAATGTGTATGAATATGTTTGAATAGTATTCTCAACCAGCACAAAATAGTATATTTCATCACGAGGGTTGAAAAAACACTTTTTGCCAGTGTGATGAACAATATTTTTTGTCATATTGCACCGTTATTTTAACAAACTATGTTACAAAACTAAAATAGTTTTAATTTATAGATAACTTCTCAAAACAACTTCTAACATGTTTTCAATTTAATTTGCAAAAGGAAGCAAGCAGCTGTATAGTAAGTGATTCAATTGTTTCGTCTATTACATTATCAATATGTAGAACTATTTACAATTAAGGCACAATTAATTCATAGATACTTTTAACACTTGCAATTGTTTACAATCGAAATTTACAACTGAGTTGACAACATCTGATTTTTACTCCCTAGGGGCTAAAAACGCTTTTTTAGGGAGCAAAAATGATACTTTTGTGGCAACAGGGCATTAAAAACAGCTGTTTTTGCTGCAGTATGACGAAAAAGTATTTTAATTTTATTGCTTGAAGAATATAGTACAATTTTTATCTACTTAAATTATTAATTCAACAAACTTCAGTAGCACAATTTTGTTGTAACTCCATTAAAACTAACCTTATACCCCCTAATATTACCGCACCATCTCGATAGATCAGTTTAAAAGTCTAACAATGCATCCTTTGCATTCATATTCTATGCCTTTTGATTGCAAAGATACTAAAATAGGAAAATTGCCCCATGTCATCCATGACTAGTAAATTAAGTGTGAATGTTTGTTGTTGATGTATCTTCATAAAGTTGTGTCAACATGTTGTGTTCTCAACAGCAACAGACCAAAAGTTGTTTTTTTTTGCAGCGGATAAACTAGGTTATAAATGTCTGTTATAAACAAATTGTTATGATGAAACCATAAAAAGATTAGTCTACGGTTTGCTTATGACAAGGGTACTGTGTACTTTTGAAGTACGATATTTTAATGTGCAAGATACATTTACGATAAAATGTAAAATACAACTTGTGTAATAAGAAATGTAATGTTAAATATATTTTAGGATCATCTTTTGCCTATTTCATTGAAAATAAGTTTTAATAATCTACTTTTTTATATTTTGTACCTGATATTTGTACACCTGATAGCAAGTTGAATTGACAACTCACTATGCTTGCCGGGCTGCCATTCGACCAAATATTTACCAAAGGTCTCACCGTTCATTTTGAAATGTGATTTCTTTTTAGAATTAGTTTCATATGTTGTATAATTTTTTGCAATGTCAAAATAAAAATAAATCATTTTCAAAATATATTTTTTGTGAATTTCTTACCGATTCCCTGTTTTTTCAGCTCTTAGTAGAATATAACCTAGTCGCCGTTGATGAAATTCTGCTTGGTTCTAGAAATTATTATATTGAGGTCTTCAATGTACAAACAGGTCTCTTTACCCAGTTGGACCTTCAGCAGACACCAGAACTGTAGAAAAGCAAGCGCACACAAGAACACTCTCCACCACTGCAACTTCCTTGTACAGTGGTCTCAACAATTAATTAATTGATAGTATGGATGAGCATTGACCGGTCAACCATCAATGTTCACCATTGATGTACCGATAACATTGTTGCCAAAACATCAATGTTTTTGGGACTAAAACATTGATGTTTTTTCAGTTTTCCATCTGCTTTTTGTACTCTCCAGTAATGGAAAACATCGATATCTCAATACTTGGTCAAAAACATTGAACACCGACTATAGATACTCATCTCTAATGAAGTATGAAAGTATGGTAAATTGGTAAGTGATTAATTTTATATCACTGACGTTAATTAGTGCGACTCGGTGTTGGGGAGCCTTTCCCTTTAGAATTTTATCAGATAAGTTAGATGTACTCCAAAACTTGAATATATACAAGAGTTTCTGGGGGTTAAAAAAGTTCCAAACACTGCTAGAGTCAAACGTATGTACAAAACTTATTTATTAGCTACAGGATATATACAAGGACAACAATAAGAACAATAAGAACAAATAAGAACAATAAGAATGTTAGGTCATGGCAGGACGAGGTCGCAGGATCAGTTTTCCGGTGTCATCGCAGGACATGTTGAAGTCACTGAGTACAAGGCGAGTACGAGAAGTGATGATGGACGGCGCAATTACCCTCTTATGTATCCCCATGAAGCACAGCACAACTGTAACATGTAAATACAAATTTAAATAATGACGTGACGCATGAGTCAGTTTTGGATACCTCAAAATTCCGGGATTAATGTGATAACCAAACCTATATTTTTGATTAATTTCTTGTTGGCGAGTTTTACTTGACAATAAACGTAAAGTGATTGTGGCAAAAACAAAACGTATCACCTGAGCACTTTTGAATCATCAAAAGGACACATTTAACTAACCTAGAATGAGGGCTGAAAGTGTGAAGAAGGGATGATTCAACAAACTCTGCATGAAGGAAACCTCGGAAGTATCTGGGTCGGAGAGCCAAGTGAACGCTCCAATCCCTGTGAAGACGGAGACTATGACGAGCATTACTGGAACAAAAATTGCAAATATAGAAAGGTTTGACACGGATATCATGAGGAAAATAACTAACAATGGTGAGTTGTATTATATTTTTAAAACGTTTTTATTAGCTCGCTTTCTTGTCCGGTACAAATTTTGCAATCAATTTTATTCTAACTTCCCAATGAGCTAGAGACTTGAAACATAGCTCACAAATGGATGACAATGCAATATTATATCATTTAATTTTCATATTTCCCTTGGGCTACGCCCCATGGGCTTCCAAATTTTCCATGTTTACATTTTGAAAGAATGTAAATATATCAATTAATTTAAGTCAGCTGTAAATACTTAAATTTGACAGTTCGAAGAGCAGAGGTTAAGAAATACACGTTCTTCTCTCGAGATATTCTAAAAATATAAAACAAGCATTTCAAAGTAAAGATAAAACATATGATTACAGATAATAAGGTTTTGGTTATGTATTAACGGGCTATATAAAAATAGATCATATTTACACATTAAAGACAAAAAAGTAGAAAATAATTTATAAAAAAAAATACTTTTTTTAAATGACACTTTTTAAACGCACTAAAAAGTAGGAAATAATCTATAAATATGTTGAGAGGATAAATACTTGTAAGATTAAAAACGAAAAACGTGGGGCGCATGCAATAGATCATAATAGTTCAATAGGTGAAGTTAATTGTAAATTAGCATGCGCCCCATGTTTTTTGTTTTAAATCTTACAAGTATTTATCCTCTCAACATATTTATAAATTTTTGTTGTACTGAGGTTCAATATTGGAAGATTGGACTGTAATTTACATCTGATCACTGATAATGCCAACTCAATACATATTTTCTCAATACTTGCTATTTACAAAATTTACCATATGTGGAAAAATACAGCTGGTTCTTATTTATAGTGACTGTGATGATTTTTAATCCGTGAATAATTAACTTTTTTGGACGTATTTTTGAGCTTGGACTCTCTTAAAAGTGGTTACAAGTTGATAAAAATTCCTTGTTTATTCTTTGTACTTGTTCCATAGTATCGCGGACATAGTTAAATTAAACCATAAAACTTTGTTCAAACACAAATCTAACCTACAAGTTCCTCCGGTTACAAGAATGTCAACGTCTACTGTAAACAAAGCTAATATAATGTACAACAAACAAAAAAGTTCCTTGCTAAGCCTTTTGATTTAAGTGATCCTGATGATGATTTTGTCTTTCCAAAACGTAAACTTACCTTTTCTTCCTCTGAATCTGAACCGAAACTATATGTTTTAGATTCAAGTGAACTATGTAAATAAATGCAATAAATTTCAAATTCTATCTGAACATTCTTATAGTTCTAATGGTAATGGCAATGATGTGGATCAATCACACGAGATGGATGATTCTACTTTGGAAAATCAAATAAATGACCCAAAGTTAAAAATCCCTCCTATATTTTTGCACAACGTAAACAACCACCAAGAAATAATAAAAGATGTCCGAAATATGGTAAAGGCAACTTTTTCAACTCAAGTTCGAGGGCAGTCCCTTAAAGTGAACTTTTTTTTTCTTCTTTCAACGCCAGTGGCATTTCATGAGAGAGTTACGAGAGATAAATGTTTAGTGGATGTGCCAGGGATTGAACCCGTCCCTCCCGCACCAAAGTCCAAGACGCTAACCACTAGGCTAGCAACACAACCAACTTGTCTAATATAGAAGACTTTCGAAATTTGACAACCTTTTATGATTCCTCCAAGATTAAATATCATACTTTTCAACCCCTAAAATGACAAAAAACTGGAAGTGATTGTCAGGAACGTCTTTACATCATTACCTGAGAATGAAATTAAAACTGAGCTAACAAATCAAGTCATTAGAGTCACTAGGTTACTCAACAAAAACAAACTTCCACTCCCTCTTTGTGCAGTAGACTTAGAAAACAACGACGACAGCAAAGCTATCTTCAATTTAACCACAATCTGTTTTGCAGTTATAAGTGTCGAAATGAAAAGAAAATCTAGGCAAATTCCCCAATGCACTCGATGAAACAATACTAGGTTGCTCAACAAAAACAAACTTCCACTCCCTCTTTGTGCAGTAGACTTAGAAAACAACGACGACGGCAAAGCTATCTTCAATTTAACCACAATCTGTTTTGCAGTTATAAGTGTTGAAATGAAAAGAAAATCTAGGCAAATTCCCCAATGCACTTGATGAAACAATTACTAGGTTACTCAACAAAAACAAACTTCCACTCCCTCTTTGTGCAGTAGACTTAGAAAACAACGACGACGGCAAAGCTATCTTCAATTTAACCACAATCTGTTTTGCAGTTATAAGTGTCGAAATGAAAAGAAAATCTAGGCAAATTCCCCAATGCACTCGATGTCAACGCTATGGACACACGAAGAACTTTTGTAAGCTGGACCCAAGGTGCGTCTGGGCGAACCCACGATGTTATTACTGTTAATTTCTTGTTTATTTTGTTAACACTTCTCTGAATAATGTCATCAATGAACCAGAAATAAATGCTGTAAAAAAATACCATATGAGGTTAGTTATTTTTTTAATCTAATACTTAAAATTGGTGATTAATTTGTGTAGATGAGAGAATTAATAAAAATAAGCTTTCTTGAAAGGTCAATAATGAAAACAAAATCAAATTAGGTAAGTACAGTATTTGAAAATAAGTAGACTTCCTCTCGGATCTATCAGGTTCAGACTTTAGATGGTTCAAACATCCACCTACATGTGTCTCTTACAGCTTTGTGATCAAAATAACAAAGAATTCAAGGTTATTGTTATACTTCATTGTTTATCAAGCCTACATTACTTCAAAATTCAGCAGCTTTTTGGTAGTTTGAAGCAGAACTATCTGTCCTTGATCGTTAGGCTTTAAAGAAAATCTCGCATATCACTAATTTTGCCATCTTACTCTACATTCATCTAGGGTAATAATATTCTCCTCAAATTGCACGTCTGATGTATGTTATTTTCTTAGTAGTGATAATGTAGTTTACTAAGTTAATACACATAAGGTTTTCAAATCTATTGAATTATTCATAAATACAGTCTAACCTTAATATAACGAACCTCGATACAACGAATTCCTTGATATAACAAATTTTTTTAAATCCCCCAGAACTCTCCATAAGACACAATGTATATTTTACCTCTACATAACGAACAAACCATAACAACGACCTTGATTTAACGAATTATTCATGATTTCGGCTAAAATAAGACACCTCAATATAGCGAATTTATCATTGTCAGAACCTCTACATTGCGAATTTAACCTCTGCATAACGAATTGTCTACGTCTTTCCCTCGATATAACAAATCCCCCACCCCATTATTGTTTTTGAAAAATCTGTTTCTTTATCAAATGAAATAGAAAGGTGACGTCATCGCTTGCGCTAACATTCGTCTGCTCCGTTTTACACATCTCTGTCTGCTGTCGCTGCGCGCGCTATGTTGCAACTGAGAACTGATTTCATTCACTGAGGACTGATGACGACGTAATGTTTAAGCTGTGATTGGGCGATAAGTAACTATGGTGAATTGTACAATTTTTCGATAAAGAGAAACCTAAGAAAGAATATAAAAACAAAACCAAAGAGAAAGAATAGCAACATCGTTATTTTAACATTCCTGTTTAGAGTGTTTTTATTATCTTTAAGTTGGCTATGATTATACACTTTTGTAATGACTTATCTAATAATTTATTGTTTTCAATACGATTTGTTTCAACTAGCAACACCAATGCTAAAGTTAATGATTATTATTGACATTCCTCTGTTGTGATAAATCAGTACTGTACTGTAAGTAGCCTACCGGCCTATCACGAGCAGTAGCTTACAAAACTTTCTACTACGGTTTTGTTCTGTTCTTTACATGGTTTATGACTACGCAATACAGTGTTTGGCTAGGTTTTAGGAGGGTTAGAAAAAGCTGTGATTTTAAACTTACAGTTTTTTTACCTGTACCTGCCAACCTTTTTTTTTACCTGTCAATGCCATTTTCATGATTGCGAAATATTCAAGATCCCTCCCCTTTTTTATGCTGGATAATTTAGGTTCTACTGTACAATGTAAACAATGTACTGTAAAGTATTGTAGCCTATGCTACTTTAATTGTGTTTTAATGATGTCTAATCCCGACCTATATTGACCGACGCTGGTTCTGAACCTCGACTTAGCGAAATTCCTGCAAACATAACCTCTATATAACGAACCTCGTTTTAACGAAATCCTTGATATAACGAATATTCAGTTCAGTCCCTTCAGATTCGTTATACTGAGGTTGGACTGTATTAACTTCTGATAAGTAGTTTGGAGTTGTCATTAATTTAGACAAGAGCTCTGTCCTGAGATGTCAGAATGAGAGGAAGTCTATTCTTAACTTAAAGATTTGCTAGTTCTTACATGCAGACTTACTTCTCCAGCGTAATGTTGCTGGATGTAGGCAAGCAATAACTTCTGTGAGTCGTCTCTCAAATGCTTTCAAGTCTGAAAATAAAATTAAAACTGTAAAAAACTTGAACTTAGATTTTAGAATATTCATTCATTAATAGGTGACTGAGTAGGTATACAGTGGGTTTTTAATATTTTGCACCAAAACGTCCAACCACCTTTAACTTAGACAATAATCCTTCCCCTCTAATACTAGTCCACATTTAAATCCCACAGGTTCAGTTTGAATACCTGCGTGCTCACTTTTGAACATTGAACTACTTGATCAGAATAGGCTACCTATGAATGCAACAATGTATTTATTGATTCAACACTCATCCGAAAACCTTTTGACTAGTCCTAGGTACGGATGTTGCGATACCGCCAATCTTCGGATACTTGGAATCAATACGCTACCTATTGAAACTGTTATTTATACCACTTGAATATTGCATATAAAATACTTATCAATAACGTATGTAACTTATTGGAAAAGTTTATTAAAGTTACATAACAAAAATGTATATAAGTAGCCTATAACAAACATTTGATATAAACCTTGGACTGTTAAAAAAAATCATGGGAAAATAATCACACAGCTTCTCGACTTAATAAACATTATTTCAATAATTACGCTTTTTCTACACTCCGGGCCATCCCGAGGGTAATCTGTGCCCCCCCCCCCCAAAAAAATAAATATATTTTATGTTTTTCACCAACGGACCCAACTTCCGAAATCGGACGCCTAGCAATTATTTTCGCGACACGAAAACGTCATCGCCATCTTCCACGATCGCGGCAAAATCAGGAACATCTCCCATGGCCGTGTAGACGTCATCATTGTCTCCCGCGGTCACGGAAACGTCATCGTCGTCTTGTGCGATGGCAGCAATAGCGGTAAATTTCTGATTGCATGGGTGCGATAGGTATCGGTATCGACTTTTGATGATCGATTCCTTGATACAGATACCAACGTCCAAGTAATATCCCTACTTAGCCTATAAGTTAATGTTAAATATTCTTCTCCTTCGACGGCCACGGCGTTACCTGGCTACAGCGTCCAGGGCCCTGTCTACACTTTAGATCCCTTGTTTTTTTTTGTGCTCAGTAACCACTGCCTTCTTTGGAAGAAGTAATGACAATGCCTATCAAACAACAATGCTGATGGATCTGTTGCAGAAAATTGTGGGAACTGCTGAAAACTCAAATGGTAGATTAAAGTAGGAAATGTTTGAATTCACTTGTTAAGCAAAATTAGATATCCTGGTTATACCCTGGTGTGGATTAACGTCCGCACGAGTGAGTAGCCTACTACGACTATCTGCAGTAAGTTACTACCTTGAAAATTACACCAATTTGTATATAGAGGAACCTCTCATGCCAGGTTGAAATTTCCGCCACAGCGCAAAAAAAAATAATAATAATTAAAATAATAATTTGATAGCATTAAAAATTTGATGCTATCAATCCGTAACCACGGTCAAAGATAAAGAAGACAAGTATCAAGTAAGTAAGTATATAGCCTACCTACCAAGGCAAAAATGTGGTTCGGATTCCACTAACTTATATGAGCTGTAGGTCCCTTAGTTGCCATTAGCTATATGGGCTATTAATTAACAGCCGTGTCTAAGGTATAAGTCGGCCTTAGTCACTAACAAGACCTTACAAGATTGCACCACTCATCCTACACTCATCTCCATTCATACTTAGCTTAAAATACCTAGGGTAGGGTACTTGTTTGGTCGCCATTTCATTGAAAAGTACCTATTAAAGTATCAGACTCCATTGTATTATTGGTCTATTAGCCTTTAACAAAAAGTGTGGGTATAAGTTAGTTAGTTTTAGATCTATCCGATAAGTTTAGGCCTAAGTTACTTTTATTGTCCAATAGGATAATCCAATGGAATCGGAAGTCTTAAGTTTTGCCAATGCTTCTTGCCAATGCTTTCAGATTCTAGGCAGATTCTAAATTCATTGACAGCTCTTGGATGTCTGTGGGATAAAACAGACCCAACATCATAGCCTAGGCTAGGCCTATTATAAGTTACATTTTTACTACAGGGATTAGCCAAAGACTAAATATTTAGCCTATGTACTAATCCTCTAGTTGTACAATAGGGTTTGGTTTATTAAATTTTAAATAATACTTTAGTATGTCAGAATAAATATCCTTAATACAATTAAGGAAAAAAATAAATGCGGAAAAATTTAGTTTACTTACCTTCACAAGCAGTTTGTTCTAGTGACATCTTTGTTTTTCGTTTTGAATTTACGCTCAGGTTCGCCAATTCCATAATACGTTACAAATCTTTGTAGGATTTTCTAATTCTACCTTTCCTTATGCGAAAATTATACCATATACAGGATTTTTACATTTTCAATTACCCTAACAGTAAATTTCTACACTTCGACTCGACTCTGCTCCTGCTGATTGACAATGACAATTGACAGCTGACAGCCTCCCTCCCTCACACCTCTCACTCCCTCTCCAACCGCAAACCACCCCACCCGACAGCACAATTTTTATTTCAGTATTTCAGTTTTCAGCTGTGGTTTTTCAATACGGACGAGATGAGAGTTGAAAATTTATCAAATTAATTTTATAATGGTGTAATTAAATTAATTATGAATTGATTATTAATTAAACTATTAATAATTAATTAAATTAAATTAATTTTTTAATTATAAAATTTAAATGAATTATTGAATTATGAATTATAACTCAAACAAAATGAAGTATAACATTTCATTGTCATAACCAAACTAACTATTTAACTAACCAAACTTGCTGTTTAAATTAAAATACCCCTGCCACAGCAAACGAGCAGACTAAGCGAATTTCCATTTACTTGGCTGGATTTCTACTAGGCTATAATATTTCCTAAAAATTGTCAGATTTATTTCCTAACTAAATAACATTAATTTTAGTGAGTACTTAGGTTTGCTGCAACAGGGAAGATATTGTGAACGTTGATAGCTAGCTTAGAATGAAAAAATAGTTATTTGTGCAACTAGTGAGAAAAGTGAGCAATTGACTCACTCGAGAGAAATCCTTACTCACGAGCCGTAGGCGAGTGAGAAATGGTTTCTCGAGTGAGGAAATTGTACTTTGAACTCGAGTTGCACATTATACTTTTCCTACAGTTACCATAAAACAAATAAATTTGTGAAGAAACATAACCTATTTTTACACAAAAGTGAACTTTTAATATAACATTTAATGGGTATTTACCACGATTATTAGAAAAAATCTTCTAGTAATCGTGGTATTTACTCAGGGGAGATATAGAAGAGGCTACGATGACAGCTGTGGGCTTCTTATTAGCTGAGGGAACGCCATTACCGTAACAAAACGGTAGATAGCCATCGGTCTCGGTGGTCTAATGGTTAGCGTGCCGGGCTGATATACTGTAGGTCCCGGGTTCGAATCCTGCTGGTAGCATTAACTTTTTGTCCAAGATTTTTTTTATAATCAGCAAGTTTGGTTGGTTTGGTTCGGTTATTACAGTTTAACTTTATTATTAAGTCATTACAAAATTTTAATTGAGCAAATTCTAGTTTTATTTAATAAACAGAATTATTTTTCCGATTACTAAACTTTTGTTATATTATTTCTTTATCAGCAAGTTTGGTTAGTTCGGTTAGGTTATCATGGTTTAATTTTATAATTAAAAAATAATAAAATTGAATTTGGGACATTTATAATTTTATTTTATGAACGCAAACCTTCATTGCCAAAGTTCTCTCTACTACAGCGCTGTTCACGGAGGAATTTTGAGCTAAATGCCCCATTCGTACCTCCCCTAAGTCAGACCACATTTAATGTGAAGTGACAAATACAACAGTACAACAGCTGACCAGCTGATTTACAGCCAGTGCTGCCAACGTATTTCGCGCGCATACGATGTTGCCTGGAGGTTACGCGCTCACTATTTCGTGCCTTCACGTTGCAAATCTGGAATGAGACAAAGTAATTAGAGTGAGACAATGCTAACATTGTCTCACTGATGAGCGAATTGGCCACTTTGCTTTCTCAAATCAGTGACAGAACATGTACATTGTTAGGTAACTGTAGGAAAAGTTACAAACATTTCCAAATTTGGATTCGGGACCCGGGTCAACAAATTCAATACATTTATCAAATTGAAATTAACTACTTAGAATATAGAATATTACATGAAACTTGGAACGAAGGCATACCAACATGTATTCTATCCGTTTGTTAAGTTTGGTAACAATTAACAAATATTTACCTATTTTATCAACAAAAATCACCGAAAATAGCTAATTTTATTTTGTTGACCCTGGTCAATCGCCAAAAAAGGTACTTAGGCTTACATTGGAGGCACGCTTGGGCAAGTAAAATGGTGGCGCACGCTTGGCCAAGCTTTCTCTTTTGAAACAAAATTATAGCAGATTACTGGAAACCGCTGGCGACTTGACCAGTCATGGTTACAGTCATAGTCATAGATAAAACAATAAAACATACTTCTTGAGGAGCATGTTTTATCTATTGTTTTTATTTTTTTTAACAGAGAGCAAGGCTTACAAGTGACCATGGTATTGCATCGCAACTATACCAGCTTATTGTGCACCCTCATTCACAGGTTCTCATTATACGTCAAATCCCAGGTCCTTGGGAACCGTGAGAACCTTTTGACTATGGTAACCTGTTCTTCCCTTTGATCTCCCGTCAATATAGGCCAAAGGGATCTCATACGCAGACCTTGTAGGGCTGGGCACATAAATATCACAAAACGCTGAAACCTTCACAGCTTTCATAAGATCTCTGGCTGGGGCATGCTGCAGCGATATTTCTCTGAAGGGACGCAGCTCCTGAACTTGCTTGACCAGCCAATCCTTTGTGTAACATGCCAAGGCTCCGCCTTCAAGATGGCAGCTGCTTATCCTGACGTCGTTGCCACGAATGGCCCACCTGGACAGTTCCCCCTTGATTTTATTGGCTTCAGCCTCCGTCCGTTTCCATAGTCCGGGTGTTCAGATTTGGCGATAGCCATCTTCTCCACAGGCAGTGTCTCCGAATAGGTGGGTGTCGGTGCTCCCTGTTCACCCGAGCCCTCTCCCTCTTTCATCCTCGTCTTCTTTTTTCGCCCCCTCTTTCACTCTTTCTTCCTGGAGGCTTCATTAGAGTCAGCTTTTGGGGTGCCACCCTCACCCTGCTTTTTTCCCAGCATCCTGGTTCCCGGAGGAACTGGCTTTGCAGGCAGCCCACGCCAGCCTCCTCTCATTTCTGGATAGCACCCTTTCGCCTTTGGCTAAGGCATCCGGCCGCTATCCTCCGTCTTCGCAACTCGCCCCTAGAAAGTAGTTTTTTTCGTTCCTTTCCGGTTTCCTCGAGCTTGTCGTCATCGTCAGATTTAAGCAGACATTCCTCCTCCATTGGGGTCAGATGGTCTACGTTGTTCCCACGAATACCGGGTATCTAAGGCCCACCTCCCCAGTGACCCGATTAGAGAGGTACGGGTTATATTCGACTGGGTTCTCCCTGGTTCCCAGAAGGCTCCGTTAAGACACTGTTATTATTAGGTGTTATTATTAGGACATGCATATTAGGCCCCCAGTGCCACAAGACTCTTGGCACGGATCGCATTACACCTTAGTCTAGGGCCCCCCTCACTTGGTTCTGTAGGTGGACCAACACCCAGTGGTAGAAGGTAGCTCTCCGCAGCTAACAAGTGAGAGTTGGAGTTTAGGTGTGGCCAATCTGCCGAACCAACCCCGCATGCGAGGTTTGGCCGGAACGGCGCGAAAAGGTTCTCCCACTCACTAAACCCCCATACCTTCCATGTTTTTATCCATGGTATCATTCCATTAAACTTGTTATTTGATATTAGTCATTTTGTAACGGTTTACTCTTAGTTGTAAGCAAAATTGTATGTACATATCAGAAGAATAAAATAAAATATGTATATTTTGGGAGATTTATGATAAATGATGATAACAGGTAGAATTTAGACGATTAACTTTTACTTCACCCAAAACATGTTCCTGAATCCTGAATCTTAATAAAATCAGGGGGGGGGGTGGCGTGGTTGGTATAGCTCTAAAATTATTGTAACTGTTATGAATATATGTAAACGTGAGTTTATAATGCCATAATTCTAAATTTTAGTTTTCTGGTTGCCTGCCTTGGATGTTGTTGTTGCCGACCCGTCATGATTCACCTTCTCGATTTGTCAACAACATGAACTCAGATTCGTCTAGGTTTAATATTGCTTTCGGAAATATTAGTTTTGATGGTGATTCATTACCGGAGTTTAGCGAATTTGATTCAGAGTCTGTCGTTGAGGATTACCATCGTCAAAGGTAGGAATTCGTTTCGTTTTTAAAGTACATTTTTATATGTTTGATGGTTGTTTATAACCAGCTTGTTGCTTGTCCCATTTAATTTAGCCTTGAACTACATATTGTTCTTTCATTAACATATTAAATTACCACCTTACTATCTTTAAATAGGGGCTCCATATTTTAGTTTGTGATCGCGTTAGCAGTTTTCAAATTGAGGTTCCAAAGTGCTGTAACTTACTCGTTTCAATTCCACCAAAAATATAGGTTATGACCAGAGTTATTTTTATTCGAGCCTAGCCTAGATAGACCATTCACGGTACAGAGTTTATTTGATTATTCACTTCCTTGGCATGTGTGTATTTTCTAACTAATCCCAAATGTTGTTGTATAAGCTGACAGTTTTTGTAAAACATTAAGTTAAACTTCAGTACCGGTAACTTACGTCACTAACTTTTCTACTAAGTTAAGCCCTACTTTGCTCTATTTTCTTTAACAATATTTTCAAATTATTTTGCATCAAAACAAAACATTAACTTTACTTTAACATGTTCCACCGACCATCTGTAACTGAGGGATGAGTAGGCTATAGTTGGTAGCTAATGTGTGAACACTTTCGCTACCAACGGTCACACTCCTCTGTAGGCTAAATGTGGGATGAGTATAGTTGGTAGCTAATTTGTTAACACGTTCCCTACCGACCGTCACACTCCTCTAACTGAGGGATGAGTATAGTTGGTAGCTAACGTGTTAAAACAGGTAACTTAGGTAGGGTAAGTTTATATTAAGGGCGTGTTTTACCCCTGACGTGCAACCGAATGCAAGGGCTTGCAAGATTTCTAGGGTACACTTCCATATCTGTTGGCACAAAAAACCGAATGAAAATATAAATCAATATTGATTATTCGATAGCCTAGGCTATATCTTTTGGTTAGTTAGGTAAGGTTAACCTAGCCTAACTAACCAAACGATATATCAAACTAAACAATCGAATAATCAATATTACTCATTCGGTTGTTTGTGCCAACAGATATGGAAGTGTACCCGATTTCTATTTTCACCTGCTACATTGAAGGTAGAATCAAAGTTAAGGTCTCATATTAAAGAGGAAGAAATTTTCTATAGTTCTTTGTTTCTATATTTCAATTATTTTAAATACGTACACCTTATAAACTTGAGTTGTAGTACAAGAAAAAAGGGTCTTTTCAACTAGCCTTAACTTATTAAAAAACACATTTTTAGAACATTTGAAAAACGCATAACTATAGATTGGTCTTTGTACTACTAAAAGCCCTTTAGAGTGCTATCATTATTTGTTAATTCTAAAACAGTAATCTTGGAAACGTCTGCAAGCGCTTCTCACAGCGCTGTCCAATGGTGAAACATAGCTACTGAAGCCCGAGCTGAGGTAAAGCGCACTCTTAAATGGATTTTTTTGATTTTCATGATAGGTAGGCCTAATTACTCTAAGTTAACTTACCGGTACCGGTAGCGTAAAAGTAAATCTCAAAGATGAAACTCAGTATGAAAACCTTAAGAGGGTTTGTAGGAAAAATTTCAGATTTTTAAACTTTGTCCCAACAGTGATAAGATATTGAGACTCAAAATTGGAACTTTTTTGAAAAATGTATGTTTTTGAAAAAAATGTAGCTTTTAAAGGAATTGATACCGATATTTGAAATGTAAGCAGTTCTAGCAAGTTGCTACTTACAAAAAAAAGACAGATTTTATTCTTTTTTTTTACTATAATATGCCCTCAAAAATTGAAGTTTTTCCGTTTCCTTATAACATTTTGGATGGGTTTGAAGACTGTATTTGATACATATTTCATTAAATATGTACTGAATATAATATTTCATGGCTATTTCTTCTCCAGATTAAAATGCTTTTTGTTCTTTTTGTTTCATTACTCTAAAGTTCATGTTTGCAGAGTTATGCAAGTTAATGAAACCCAAATGGTACATAAGCAAAAATTAGCGTGTTTCGCAAATTGAAAATGGCTGCCATAGAAGTGCGGTAACAAAAGAGATAAAAAAATTTAAAATCACTTTTGAATCTCAAATTGATATAGGCCTAGGTAAGATATCTAGGATAAATCTTAGGCCTATATATTAAAAACTTATGACAGCTAGCCTGACCATACTACTGGACCCGGCTGTACCAAAAGAAAAGTTATCGGTCCTATATGTGCCTCAGGTTTTATTTGTATTTTTAGGCCTATTTGTATCTTAATTAGGTCAAAAATGGAAATTCAGCTTTTCTTAATGGAGAATTAACCAACATGTTTATTGAATACCTTTTTTCTCAGCTCCTGTGCATTGCAGTGAAAATCTACGCATACTTTTAGAAATATATTTGTCTGAAGATGTGCAGAATCTAACTATAAATTAAAATAGGCTCAAAAATAAACATAAGATATTAATTTAAAATTAAAAAAAAATTAACATGGGCCTTACGGGTTACCATGTTGGTGACGAAATAACAACAAATTATAATTTAAACAGAAAATCAAAACAAATGGCAGAAATACCAATCATAGCCTATGTTTTATTTACAGCGTGGGGCGAAAATAGAAAATTTTGCACAATAGGCAACGTATACTTTTGCTTGAGTTTTTGACTATGGGGCGAGCTCTAGTATTATTTATTTTAAAAATGGTCAAGCAACCCCTGTTGAATCACTTGTAATGGATAGAGCCCTGGAGGACTGATTTAATTTTTCGTCTTGATGTCCCTAGAGGTAAAAAACACCATCTCTTCAAATTCATAAAAATATGTGTGTTTTTGTCTGCTTTAAAGGAAGACTTTTATCGCAAACAGTTTGTTACAAACATATCTATAGCCTACACATATTTGGGCTAATATATGCAACACCAATACAATTCTTAATAATTGTGTGGACACATTGTCAAAAATGTTGATTTGTAGCAGGTTTTATAGTGCTACAATATATAGTTCGGCCGCTTAGAAAACGACCTGCCCGCTATTGCTAAACCAATGCTGGAGGAGGTCGTTTTCTAAGCGGCCGACCTATAGTTATGTTACTCTGCTTATGATCAAAGTTTGATTGAGAGGAATACAATATGTGATCATTGACAAAGGAATGTTGCAAAATTGTATTGTATTTGAAGCCACTACCATTCCAAAAGATATGTGAATAATTGTTGTATACAATCGTTTATACTCTGCATCATTTTTAGTAAACTGTGTAGGGCTACTTTATTACTCTGTGCTAATGATCAAAGTTTGACTGAGATGAATATGTGAAGTGGCAAACACAGGAATGGCTGATGCAGAGTTTAGCTAAGCGGTGCTCAGAATAACTTTGTCTTAATTTCTCTGATAACATAGCCAGGGAGTTTAGGTGTGGCTTCTTATCAAAAATGTTTATGTATGACTAACACTTATTTCCATTTCCAATTGGTAATGTACAGTACGGTACATGGGACCTTGGGAAAATTTTATGTAAATACATAGTTAATATTCAAATTATTGATTTTGCTTATTTTTGTATTAGGTACTTGTTTACCCAGAGTTTTATCTTTACGCAATAATGACAACCTCTGAAAATGACGGAGGAAATAATTGATTCAAAAATCGTATATCTGTCCCTAAATAGAAAAAACGCGACTTCACAGGCTTTGCAGTACAGTAAAATACCTCCTTTATGAACCTCGGTAAAATAAATTCCTCAATAAGATTAATTTTTAAAAATCCCCTTGAAACTTTCTTAAAGGTCAATGCTAAAAACACGTCTATACAACGTAGTAATTAATTAAGTTAAAAACATCCATAAGACAAATTTGTTTGTGATATGGACTAGGACTGATTAACCTCTATACAACGAATAAAACCTCTACAAGACGAATGGGACCATAGTAGTTTTCAAAACAAACAGAATTTTTCTAAACAATAGAAAAAAGTAAAGTTCTCACAGCTTTTTGTTGCTTCTTGGTTCAAATTAGCTGTTGTCATAAATGCAAACAGAATAATAGTGCTGCAACCTGTTGGTAAACCTTATAACCTTTTAATGCTGTTGAACCAACTTGTGTAGTTGAAACAGCTGGCAAAATTCTTTAATTCATTTTAAATATGAATACTCATAAGGTTAACATGGGAAACTCTAGAGCCACTGGGGTGGAGCCCGAAAGGATTTTTGAGATAGAATATGTCTAAATGTTAATCGGGAATGAGAGCTATCATCATACCAAATTTCAACCCAATCCGACCAGTAGTTAATGTGTGATTGAACTTGAAACAAACTTTCACATTTATAATATTAGTATGCTGTCTGTTGAAGGGAGTGTGGTACCTAGATACAGTCATAAGATAAAGTCAGTGTTATTTCTGATCTAAGTTTTCTCAGGAGGTAGATGATGCGGGAAAGTTTCACACAAGCCTTTTCTATGTGGGATTTTCTGTTACATTAAGTGTCCACCCAAAAGCCGAAATTTCACTGGTTTCTCCCCCATCACTGTTTTTAGGGTACAGAGATTGAGTTTTTCCTAATTAATTTTCAGCTGATTGGCATTAAACCAGTTCTCAGCATGATACAGTAGGTGTTCTGCCTAAAGTTGCAGCTAAGTTAGGCCTTGTCCTCTAGAAATCAAGGTCGTATCATCCACAAACAAGTCACCATACAACCATTGAGCCACAAATTGTTAATCATGATGGAAAAAGTATAGGGACTAGAATAGACCCTTGGGTCTTGCCATGCTCTACATCACTAAATACCAGAAAAGACGCATACAATGAAGCAATCTGCACTCTACCCTGTGTATAGTTCATCAGTGTTTCCTGCACACTTTCTCAAATTCTGTAGAGTCAATTATGAAGTCTAATTGAAATGGGTATGCTACCTAGGTTCGTTTTTCAACCCAAATATGAGTGAAGGATGAGTGTAGAATGGCGTGAGATGATCTAATTACCAAACCTCAGCTTCACCAATAGTATGTTATGTGAAAGTCAAAAATGCTTTGCAGAGGTCGCATAGGTTCAGGTGAACAGAATTATTGGCTTCAA